TCCCCCTCAGGTACAGCCTGTGACCTTGCACTACAGAACAGTGGTGGGGTCCTCAGATGTCCCCCCTCAGGTACAGCCTGTGACCTTACACTACAGGAGTGATGGGGTCCTCAGATGCCCCCCTCAGATACAGCCTGTGACCTCACACTACAGGAGTGATGGGGTCCTCAGATGTCCCCCCCCCCTGCTCCTGTGAACCCAGGTGTGGGGCGGGTCTCGAGTCTGGCAGGAGCTTTCTTGCACCTGTGCCATTAAATCTCCCCCCGAATGCCTCTGGTGTCCACGTGTCTGAAGCCACTACCTCCCTGCGGCCAGCACAGTTCAGGCTCCGTGTGTCTGCTTGTTGGAAGGACGGAGTGACTTCCTGTGGGTGTCTCGCCTGGCTTGGGCCACACGCCTGGACAGGGACAAGAGCATGCGGGAAGTCGGGGCCAGGCGGCTGCTAACCGGGAGACTGTGGCCCTTTCGAGGGCGTGGTGGTGGCCTTGTGCCTTCTTGGGGTGCAGGTCTACTTCATGGTGGGGTGCCAAGCACAGGGACCTGTCAGGGGCATCAGCCTTCTCCGGGGGCCATGGGCTCATCAGGACCCCCTTGGCCTGGGACGTGGCACTCCTGTGCTGCCACGGTAAGCGCGTGATGTGTAAGCCAGGAACTGGCTGTTAGGTCTTGGGAGAGTCCACTGTGACGTGTGGTGGTCCCGTGTGAGCAGAACAGCCCCAGGGGTAGAGGTGGTGTGTCTCTAGGCTGTGATACTGCAGACGCTCTGGTGACACCGAGGCTGAAGTGTTTATCTGGTAACTGGAGACCCAGCGGTTTGAAACGGCCAGTGTCGCTGTGGGAGAAGGGGTGCTCTGCTCTATTAGACCACGGGGAGCACTTCTCGCTCCGCAGGGCACCTGTGGGCTGGAATCACCCCTACATGGCAGGTCTGTTTCTGAGTCAGTGTCGCCAGGTTTTCCTGTGGAGCTGCGTGGCTCTGAACCACCGACCTCCCAGTTAGCAGCTGAGCATTTAACCACTGCTCCACCAGGACCCGTTGTGCTGGTGCTGGGGGTAAAGCCCTCGACTGACAGCCGACTGCCCAGCAGTTCAAACCCGCCCGCTGTTCCTCCGAGGACAAGGCAGCTGGTCCCCGCGTTATAGCCGTGGGAAGCCCGGGGCAGTTCCGCGCGTCCTGCAGGGCCACCATGGGTCGGGGGCTCAGGCAGTGGGCCCGGCCGGGCTCGCATCCCCCCTTAGGTCTATTGGCCGCATCGTGTTCCGTGATGCCGAACCCTGGGCTGGCGAACATGCCGGCAGCCGCGTGACATCACCGGCGTGAAGGCCGCGTGTTTGTCTGTGGGATAAACTCATAGAAGCCCAGTTGTTGGACCCAAAGGTATGTTTCTGCGTTTTTAGAATATTGACAAAATTTTGGAATTAAGGATTAGAGAAGTACTGATCAAAGAAAAAAAAAAAAGAATATTGACAAATGAACCAATTCCTTTTCATTTTATTTTGTTCTCATTTTATTCTGATGTCACGTGCTGTCGTGTGGACTGTGCTTCCTGGGGACTGTGGGCAGCGGGATGAAACCCTCCAGTCCACTGCCACCCTCAGAACTCCACTGTGTCACCTCTAACCCAACCCTCCTGAGATGTCGTGTGCCACTGAGTCAGAACCAGCTCTCAGCTGCCCCTCCAGCAGAGGAGACGGCCCCCTCCCTCCCTCAGAGATGCCGGTGGATTTGAACCACCTCTCTTAGCGTTGGTAGCATTACTCATTACCTGCTAGGCTACCACAGCTCCCTCCACCGTGTATGATGTTTTTACCGAGTCGGAGCTGACTCTCAGCTGGCCCTGTGGTCGCTGGCTTGTATTTCTTCTTCCGAGTATTTAGTGGATTTGAACCATGTGCCGTTGGGTTGGTAGTCCAACTCTTTACCACTGAGCCACCAGAGAGGCCCTTCCTCCTAATACAGGGGACACAAATTAGACGGAAAAGAGGTTTTTTCACTGGAAGAGGAAAGGGTCAGCACAAGCGAGGCAGATGCTCCGGGAGGTGGACGGACAGTGACCGCAGCAGTGGACGTGTGCGTGGTGGACAGTGAGGGGGTTCTCTGCACTGCTCTGAGTCAGAGGTGGCCAGGAACCTACCACATTCCCTCCTTCCAGCATCGCTCCAAGATGCAGGGCCGGCTGGCCTTGTCAGTACTGCGTCCACAGGCCATCTCTGCCCACCTGGTAGCTCGAGGTCAGCATTTTCTTGTCTAGATCTCTTAGGAGAAATCGGCCTCATCTTCACCAGTGTCCGTTTCGCCTGCGGTGCTTGACATGTTGCGGGTGGGGGGGTCAGAGTGTGGGCGATACTGCTCTGCTTTTGTCCAGGTTGGGTCCCAGGAATGCCTTGTACACTGACCTGGGCAGTGTCCCCTCGCCTGCTGTTTCCAGAAGGGATGGTGTGGTGTGCTTGCACTTCCTGGGACGATGTTAACCACAGATCCACCCTCTTGAAACAGTTCTAGGGCTTCTCAGATTCTTTATCCCATCCACACTGAGTCCAAGACTGGTTTTCCGGAAACGGACTGACGTCATCTAACTTACATCTGTGTTCACCAGGTCCCCGATTACTGCTGAAAAGCCCAGAGTCTCGTTTCTGCTGTCTTAAACGGCCCTTACTGACACCCCAATCTTCTTTTCCTTTGGTAACGGCTGAGCAGGCCTGGGCTGGACTGATCTTTCCACAGAGCTGGTTCTTGGTTTGGTTTTTCTCCATTTGTGTTGTCAGGTTCCTCCACTGCTGGGTGTTTCTTACCAGTGAACATCTGTGTGATGTGCAGCGCCGTCCACAAACCCTGTGTGAGCAGGGCGGTCCACGAACGTGAATCATGCGTGGCTGCTGCCACTAGTCTGCCGTGTCCTCCAGCTTCTCCTTCAGTGACACACGTTCTGTTCTCACTGTGGCCATCCTGGGTCCACTTCCAGGTGACCCCACCATTGTGAATGTAAGCGGGTGTCCCTCACCCTGAGCAGAAATCCCCTTTCCTCCCCCCAGCTCCGAGTCATGCCCTGCCCCGCTCCATGTCCTCAGGCTCCTCCCCTCGTAGCACGGCCAGGCCCTATGTCCCTGTAGGGTGTGTCACCCTCCAGAGACCGAGGCTTTGTCACTTCTGGTTTTGGTGCCGCCTTTCTCCCTGCTGGCTTTCCCACCAATTATGACGATGACCACGGCCGCCAGCTCATTGGGTTCATGCCACCCTCCCAGCTGTTTCAAGGCTGTAAACCTCTCTGGGAACAGACTGCCCCATCCTTTCCCCTCAGGGCTGTTGGTGGACTTGAACAGACCAGCTTTCCTCCCTCGTTGGGAGGACCCTTGATTCTCCAGAAATCGTCATCATCCCCACTAAAGCCCACTTCCTCGTGTACACAGCCACTCTGCCTTTATTTTGACCACTATTCAAAAAGAAATCAAAGCCAGGCCGTGGCGTCAGACCTGAGTCCTTGCTGACACTCCATCAGGTCTTCAAAGGTCGTAAATCTCTCAGGAGATTGCCCATCCCTCTTCTGTGGGACAGCTGGTGGATCCAAACTGTCTACCTTTGGGTCGGCAGCACAGCGCCTTACCCACTAGGCCACCGAGCTCCCTCCTGACCCCTGTTGACATGGTGTGTTTTTTTTTTTCACCTTTTTACCACTTTATGTTTACATCATTTCTTTTTGGAGGCAGCATGTATTTATATTGCTTTTTCCTTTCCGTATAGTTTGGGTAGATGTTTGCAAAACACATTAGTTTTGTGACATTGCTGCAGCCCCTGAAATGGACCGGCACACGTCCCCTTCCTCCGGGTCCTTCTTTCCTGCCTTGCTTTCGTCTCGCGTGGCTGCGTGTTCTGGGGAGGATGTTACTGAGTTTTGCTGCACTGATCCCAGGTGTGGGGGGAATGTGTGTGTCTAATATTTGTAAATGTAACCTCGGGGCTCCTACCCCAGCAGAGTCCTTCAGACCGATCACCAGCCCTGCAGGCACCGACACAGGCCCCATGCACCCACCTTATGAACGAGGAAGCTGCATCTCCTATAATGCAGAGGCTTTGCTCATAAAAATCACTGTGATTTAATAAATAGACGGGCTTCTCGCCCAGTGTCCCAGGACACGGGCACCGTGGAGACAGGGCCACCCCGAGAGCATGGAGATTCTCCCCCAGGATTGAGGGAGGGACCAAGTGCAAGCCATTCCTGAAAGTGCTTCCCCGGAGAGAACAGTCACATTGAACAAGACCCCAGGCGCCTGGCCGGTCTACTACGTGCCACTCCCTCCATGGGGCCCTACAGGCTGTCCCCGGCTGGTCCACTACGCCACCCCCTCCTCCTCGGCCACAGAGGGCCCCCACTACACCACCCCCTTCATGGGGGTCTACAGAGTGCAGTCTGAGGCAGCTGTCACCGCTGGTCCTCTATGCCCCCCCTCCTGGGCGCAGTCTGAGGCAGCTGTCCCCGGCCAGTCCACTATGCCACCTCTTCTTCGGCCACGGGGGCCCCCCGGGCGCTGCAGCGGAGTCGCTGGCCCAGCTTGAGCAGCTCTGACAGGATGAAGACGGACGAGGCCAGGCCAGTGAGAAACAGCAGATCTGCATGGGGTGGGGCAGATAGGAGGGGCGTGGGTCCAGGCTGACCTGCACGTCCTCTTCACTTACCCAGAGGAGAAGGGGCATGGACTGGTCCTCCCACTGCCCTGGAGGAGGGCAGCTTCACCCAGGGGCTTGCTGTCCACCAGCTCATTCTGGATGGGAGGAGAGGGCAGGGGCCAGCACTGGGCCCTGTGTGGATGGGGTCTGCCTGCTTTCCCCTTGCACCCCGGGTTCCTACTGGCTGTGCCAAGTGACAGCATTTCGGTCAGTATGGGTGAGCAGACCTCTCCTGTACTCTGGGCTCCGTGCTTTGCAGGGCATTCAAATGACACCCCAGCGAGTTACGGGACAGGCTCAGCTGACCACACAAGGGGCCACAGCTCAACCCAGTAGTGTCTGGCCAGTGAAACAGGGCTTGGCCAGAAGGCAGGGAGGAGTGGGGGTGCAGCTGCTGCACCATCCCCCCCGGCTGTCCTTTCAGCTCTGCTCTAGCCCACCAGGCAGCTTCCCACTGAGCAGTGCCCACTGCACCCCGGCCCTGCCAGGCCTGGAGCTGGGCCTTCTCTGCATCATGTTGCTCTTGGGGGTGCAGGGTCTGTGGGAGCTGGACACTGGCTGCTCTGGACTTTCCCTGAAGCTAGCAGGGCCCCCCCTTGCTCACCGAGCACCCCCAGGTTCTCTGTCTGGAAGACCTTCTGCAGCAATGGCACGTAGACCACGGCCAGCTGGCCCAGCAGAGAGCCCAGCACCGAGTACAGGAAGACACGGTTCCGGAGGAAGCCAATCTCCCAGATGAGCTTGGTCTGCAGGGAGAGGCGGCTGTCACTATGTGCCCAGAGTCCCACCTGGGCCCCGGGCCCCACGCACCCTCACCTGGGAGCGGCAGGTCAGGGCGTTGAAGAGGTCAAACAGCACAAAGCAAGTGAAGGTCATGGTCGTGGTGCGTGGCGTGCTTGCCTTGTCCTCCGGGATCTGGGATACAGTGGGAAGAATGTGGTATTAACTCCCTGCAGGATGATATGCTGGCCACCAGAGCCCAGCTGTGGAGTACAACATTCCAGGGATGCCCGCAGTATAGAGAGAAATGGGGTAAGAACCCCAGCTGCCAGTCACTCTGCCGGCACCGCCCATCCTCCAGGGGTAACGAACAGACCACCTCTCGTCAGACAGCAACTCCTGAGGTTCCTAGGTAGTGGTCTTTGGGGGAGCCGACTGGCTGCTAAGAAGACATTACACCAAAGGGGGGATCCTCCAGTGCAGAAGGGAAGTGAGGCCCAGGGCTGCAGTGGCCCCTCGCCTTGTTGGTTTGCTACGATGCTGCAGGAAAGTGAGGTTCAGCCCCCAGTTCAGGGGTCTCTGAGGAGTTGACTGAGCGGAGTCGGAGGGAAGGGCCAGGCAGCTGCTCAGAAAACCACTGATCACAGCGCGCTCTGCGGTGTGGGGCTGGCTGAGCCGGCGGCTGACGCAGCAGCACGGTTTCTCCTCTGACAAAGGCAGGGTGACTCCTGGCCCCCGTGGTTGTGCTGAATAGACTGGCTGCTAACAGAAAAGGCAGCGGTTTGAATCCACCAGCTGGTCCGTGGGTAAAGATGAGGCTCCCACACAGCCTACAGGCCAGCTGTGTCTTACAGGGTCACTGCCGATCAGAATGCACTCCACCGCAGTGGGGGTGTGTGGTGTTGTGGAAACAGCTAGGCTATGATCTAATGCAGTGGAGCCAGTCAGCGGTCTCCACGCCGCCAGCTCTCCTGTCAACACACACTGCTGGCCCGTGGAGAGGACTAGCACCCTCGTGTGCCCCCATGAACACGACCCTCGGAGGGCGAAGGCAGGCTCTGTCCAGCCCCACGTCCCTCACCTCCTTCCAGAAGATGAAGAGGGTCCCGCAGATGATGATGGCGGCGGACAGCAGGATCCTGAGGACAAGGGCCCGGCTGAGGATCGTGTCCTTGATACTCCTGGGCGGCTGCAGGAGGGTGTCGGTGTCCACGGGCTCCATCCCCAGGCTGCAGGACACAGGGCGCTTTAGCGTCAACCCCTGAACAAACACCCTTGGGGCGATGGGAGGCTGCATTGTGACCCATGGTGGCCCTGCTGTTTCCGAGGCTGTCAGTCTTTAAGGGGAGCCGCTGACCATCCTTCTCCCGCAGAGGGCTGGTGGATTGGAACCACTAGCTTTTATACCAGTTCCCCAACAAACCACCCCGCCAGGGTTCCTGGAAGCAGAGCAGCGAAGTGTGTGCGCCTTTCCCTCTGGGGAGCACTAGTGCTGGAGGCCATTGGGGGGGGTGAAACTGAGCTGCTGGCCCCAAGAGTCTTGCCTCTGTTGGTGCAAACTGACCCGCTGGTCTAAGGGAGGGATGGGCAGGGCCCTTCCATGCATTTTACGTTAGACACTCAGTGGAGGGCTGCTCTCCCCACCTTCCACTCAAGGGCAGGGAGGGCTCCTCGGAGGTGGTGGCCTGGGTGAAGGCCTGACCTCATTAATGCAGCGTCCGCTGCACACAGGCCGAGGCCACGTCGGAAGTCTGGGTGAAGGCCTCGACCTCACTGTGTGGCCACGTTGTGGACGCACCTCTGCGCGGGCGGCCCGTCCATGATGATGTTGATCCACAGAATCTGCATGGCGTTGAGCGGGTTGGGCAGGTTGAGCATCGTGGACAGTGTGATGAGGCTCAGGGCAGAGATGCTCCTGCGGACACAGCGGGGCGTCAGCCGAGGGGGCGGGCACGCGGCCCCCACACGGCTGACCCGTACTTACGTGCTCAGCTGGAAGCAGACGAAGTTCTTGATGTTATAAAAAATCCCCTTGCCTTCCTCCACGGCATTTCTGGAAGAGAGTATCACTCAGGTAGGGGACCGGCTGGCACTGGCACTCACACGACACTGGACGTGGATGGGCCCTCCTGTTCTCCCCTGAAGGCCCCACCCCCTAGCAGCCTCCTGTCCATCTCTCCACCGTTGCCAGGTGCTGTCAAGTCTGAACGAGTCCTCGCTGACCGCAGGTAGGTTTTCAGAGGCCGTCAGTGTGGCAGGTGGAGACTGCTCACCTTTCTCCCAAGGAGCAAACTCCCTGCCTCGGGGTCAATGGCACACCCTCCTAATCAGAGCTCCCCAGACACCTCCAGTTAGATGAATTCTGTCCTCACAAGCCCAGAGGCCAGCCTGGGTCCCTCCATTATCCATAATCAGGCTTAAGAGGCCCAAGAATCCAGACATTCTCTCCTGCACCCCTACAATTAATGTCCCAAAGGCGCAGCTCTTACCTGCCCTCTGATGTTACTAAATCTGTCCTTGCTTTAAACCACTGAACTAATTCCTGCTCCCAACAGGCTCTATAACGCAGTCTCTTTTGGACCTGCCGCTGTCCCTGCTGCCTGTGCAGCTTTTAAATAGCCGGACAGGCTTTGTACTTTGTCTTGTGCTGGGATAGTTCTTAAGAACCACGGCCACTTTGCTGACCAGACCTGCCATTTAGACACAGAGGGACACTGGGCTCTGCCTGTGAACAGGGCAGGCGGGGGTAGGGAGGCTGGAAAACATCAGCTCTGCGTTCAGAAGAAAAATCCCAAAACTACTTGTGTCTCTAGGAGTAGAAACCATCCCACCAGCCTGGTAACTAGGGAATTTCACAAAACAATTCCAGCTGAAAAACCCAGCTGCTGGCATCGAGGTGAGTGTGACCCTGTAGGAGTCCATGGAGCCCGGAGGAGCCGGTGGGCAGCCTTGGGGCCCTGCCACCCCTCCCCCAGCTCACATGATGGCCGCAAAGTCATCCTCCACCAGGATCATGTCGGCCGCCTCCTTGCTGACATCTGTCCCCGTCTGTCCCATGGCGATCCCGATGTCTGCTGACTTGAGGGCCACCGCATCGTTCACCCCATCTCCTGTCATGGCCACGACGGCCCCTGACATCTGCAAGGCCTGTGGACAGAAGCAGTTAGTGGAAGCCTCCTTCTGGAACCTTCTTTCCTCTTGCCATGTTGCCTTGACCCCATGATGCTACAGCTGACCCCGCTCTGACAGCCCTGCATGCCTCACCTCCTCCAAGTGGAAAGTGGGGGTTGTGGTTCCCCCTTTCATAGGCCTGAACTAAGGATGGAACTTTATCCTGCACAAGCCCTACACAGACGGTGTGACCATCTGTTACTAATAAACATCACGTCATTACTAGTCCCCTGAAACCACTGACGTCCAGCACGAATCAACATCATCTTCGCAGGGTAATGTGAAGAGATTTAGGCTGTAAAGTGGGAAAAGAACAAGGGGGACCTGCTAGGTTTTGAAGGACACGGGTGCAGGAAAACCAGGATGTGTGCCCGGTTCTTTAGCTCTAAGCTTTCCATGGTTCACATGAAGAGTCAGAACCACCTCCTCGCTTTATTAGAGGGAGCCCTGGGGGCGTAGTGTTGTGTGTCATGCTGCTAGCCAAGTGATTTATGGTTCAAATCTACCCACTGCTGGGTGGCCTCAGTGCCTTGATACAAGGTTAGCGTGAGTTGGGGGTCTCTTCCTTATGGGCCTGCTGCAGCAGGGACCATACCGAGCCCCCTCAGTGCCTTTGTCCTCACTCTACTCTGAGGGCTTGTGAGCCTACAGGCACCCAAGGCAGACCTTTCTGGAAGCAGATAGCCCCTGGGTCTCCCACAGAGAGGGTTAGTGGCCTCTTAACCCAGTGTCCCATAGATTCCTTGATGGTCACACCAACTCTGGGAGTTAGCTGATGTCATAGGAGTGTCCACTCCACACATTTTACAGATAGGGAAACTGAGGCATGAAGGTAAAACAGAAGAGCTTACCACCAGATTACACACCTGTCTTCATTGTTCACCTTGTTCAAGCCAGTCCCTGCTCCTTATTTTCAGTATACGGGGCAAGGGACCCTCCTGTCCCCCTGCCTTTCCTACTGCACCCCAATTCCACAGGCATGGATCCAACCTCTAGAGGCTGCAGGTCCAGCATTCCCTGGGCCAGACACATCATGTGACCCCAGGTAGCCAACAGAGTGTGAGCCCGTGATGCCTCTGTTCCTTCCCCTCCAGGGTTTTGGGGAGAAGCACTGAGGACCCCAGAGTAGGGGTAATCCCTGTGAGTCTGGGAACCTGGGCTCATGACTTAACCATCCCTGCCACATACCTTTATGATTTTGAGTTTGTGCTTTGGGCTGGTCCTGAAGAAGACAGACACCTGTGGGCAGGGTGGGGGGGGCATCAGCATATGACTGACACATGGCTCCCACCCACAGCGATGGCCCTCACTCCAGTGGGCCCTCCTCTCCCACCCCAGCCCTCTGGTCCTGCTCCTGGGCCCAGGAAGCGCTACCTTCCGAACACGCTCGGCCAGCTCGTCGTCCTCAATCGTGTCCAGCTCTTCCCCAGACAGGGCCTTCAGCTGCCCATTGCACAGGTCGATGTTCCTTCCTTAGAGAAAAGCAGCCCTGAGGGCGAGGTTTGAGCCCGAGACTGGCCCCCCCCCCCTCTCCCTGGTGACACCGTCCTGCTCTGACCCCCAAGGTGAACACACACACACACAATGACCACCTCTGACTGTCCCTGCCACGTGCTCTACCTTCACTTACATGACCCCGGCTGCCTTAAAGATGAAGGGAGTGGTCACCCTGGAGCCTGGCCTGTCTCTTTCTAGGAGGCCAGGCTGTTTCAGTACAGGGTGGAGTGCACGAGGTCTAGTTAGTTACAGGCATAGTGACAGGAGGAGGAGGGTTACTAGCTGATGAAGAGACAGAGGGTCAGAGTGGTTCAGTGAAGGGCCCAGAATGCCCAGCTGGGGTCAGGAGCCAGACTGGAACTGGGCACGGAGGAGGACTGTGTGTGAGGATGGAACTAGGCCTTGGGCACACAGAAGATGCGCCAAGACCCGAGGTCCTTCCCACTTGGGGAAGCTGCCAACATGGTGGGTGAACTGGTCTCAGAGTCTCACCCTATTCTGAGCATGAAGAAACTAGGATGCTCCTGGCCAGGCGTGCCAAGGTAGCACCGTTCCAAAGGGTGGGGGACCCTGGCCACCCAGGCCTCCCGGTTACCTATGGCCAAGGCCGTCTCCAGGGCGTCGCCGGTGATCATCTTCACTGACACGCCCGACTCGGAGAGGATCCGGACAGCCTCCTTCACGCCGGCCCTCGGAGGGTCGATGATGCCCACGAGGCCCAGAAAAGTCAGCTGCCCCAGCTCGGGCCCGGACGCCAGGGCCAGCACTGCGGAGAGAGGACACGGGTTCAGGACCCGAGGGGCTTGGCTTGTGGGCTTGGGTGGGCACTTAGCATGACCCCTGACACAGCAACTCAGCTGGCCAGCAGTCAGCAGGGGTCAGGTGGGATGACATCAGTCTGTCCCACTTTAAGTGACTGGTGTTAGGAGGCCAGGAGAGTGGCAAGGTGTAGCTCCTGGACAGCGTGTTGGTGTTAGGAGGAAGCAGAGGCACAGAACCCCCCACGGGGCTTCTACATCCCCGGCCTCATGGCCATCGAGTGAGTCCTTTCCGACTCACAACGCCCCCATGGACGGAGGGATGCAGCCCCGGAGGGCCCTCAAGGCCGCCATCATGACAGGGAGAGCCTGGTGGCGGAGTGGGTCATGGACTGAGCTGCTACCCACATCAGTGGTTTGAACCCAGCCCATGCTGGGAGAAAAACGAAGCAATTACTTCCTGTTAAGATTCACAGCCTCCAAATCCAACGGGGCCTCCAGGAGTCAATGGGCTTGATGGCAGTGGGGTTTTGGGGTTTCTGTATGGAAGCAGACATCCAATGCTCTCCCACAGTCTACGTTCAGGTCGCCCCATGTTTGGCCACAGTCTCATTTTAACTGGTATTTTTCTTAAAGTTCTTTCTTTAAACCTTTTTTTTTATAATACTTCCTGCAAAGAAAGCAGGAGGCTGGGCAATCCCCGTCCCTGTGCTGTCAGCCTCAGATACCAGTGGAGGGCCTGCGTCGGTCAGTTCCAATTCACCGGCCAGGAGTTTTGAGTTTTTAAAAGGACGAATCCACAGCCCTGCCATCGAGTGGACACTGGCTCAGAGCTGGAGGGGACATGGGAGAGCCGCCCACAGGGTTCCCAGGCCGCCAGCTCCCCAGACTTCAGCTCTTCCTCCCACAGAGCCGCTGGGGCTTGAACCGCTGTCCCTTCCCTTAGTATCTGAGCGCTCTTTCTGTAGACAGAGCTGTGTACAAACCATCCTGGGGACCCTGAACATGTGAATGGCACCTGTGGGGGGTGGGGCATGTCCCCCTTGGGGAGATGTTGATGGGGAGCCCCTCAGGGCGTGGAGAAGCCCCACTTGTCCAGAGTCCCACAGGTGCCAAGGACTTCTCAGCACTGTCCCCGCAGGGAAGGAGTCAAGCGCCCAGACAGCATTGCGAGCGCAGCTGTCCCTGGGTCCCTGAGGGCGCACAGGTGGCGGGGTGTCCCTCACAGCTTCCAAGGTGACATGGCAGCCCAGGGGTCTGAGAGCGCTACCCCACAGCCCGTCAGGACAGTGATGGTGCTGAAAGCGGTTATGTGCTGACAAACAGTCCTCGATTTCAAAGTGTGCTTGGGTTTCCAAGACAAGAGCTGAGGAATGAGGTTGGCTGGAAATGTGTGATTGAGGGGCGTCACCCCTGGAAAGCTCAACGGGCTGGGAGCTCCCCACTTCTCACACATGGAAGTGGAGTGCAGGCTCACAGCTGTCAATGAGTGGCTGAGAAGGGCTCTTTGTTGTCTAAAGACATCACCATAACTCACTCCGAGAGCCCCTGTGTGGTGCAGGTGGGGTACAGCAGCCTAAAGGGTGCAAGTTCGAGTCCCTCCAAGGTGTCTGGTGATCTGCTGAGAAGTCGAGTGCAGTCCTACTCATGCCCACAAGGGGGCGCGAGGTGTCGCTGCGCAGCCTGCCTGTCACCTTGCTGCCTGGCTTTGACCCAGCACCTGACTCTCTAAAGAGCCTTCCCTGGTGCACGTCACCAGACCCCGCTACTGACCCCGCAGGCCGAGCGAGGCCATCCGCCGCGCCTCCTGCCCACTGAGTGCCTGCTGCTGCGGCGTGAGCGGCACGGCGATGCCTGCGTGGTTGTACGTGGTGCAGTGACGGATCACTTCCTCCAAGGCCCCCTTCATGAAGTAGGTGTCCTGCTCCTGAGGAGGGGGCAAAGAGGAGAACCCTCGGTCAGGGCGGTCAGGGCGCTTCTGGCCATGGGAACCACCCCCTCATTCTGCATAAGCTCCTCTGTCAGGGAGTGCCCAGCCGTGGAGACTGACCCCCTCATTCTGCACAAACCCCTCTGTGTCCGGCAGTGCCCAGCCGTGGGGACTGACCCCCTCATTCTGCACAAACCCCTTGTGTATTGGGGTGCATCTGGCCACAGGGACATTCCCCCGCATTCTGCACAAACCCCATGTCTCCGGGTGCATGCGGCCCAAGGACTGCCCTCATTCTGCACAAGGGCTCAGAGCTAGGTCACGGGTGGCCTGGGTGCTTGGCGGGCTCAGTAAGGACCCAGGACAGGCGCATGGCAGAGTGGGAGCAGCAGATATCACAGTAAGGAGGAGGAGGAGGAGTTGTTGTGTATCATCCAGTCAGAAATGACTCCCACCCGGCCCTCCAGGGGGCTTCCAGAGGCATTCAACAGCATGGGAGGACACTGCCCTCCTTCCCCCACCACAGGGCTGGCAGCACAGCTCCTGACCGCTGAGCACCTGAACCCCTGACCGCCCAGCCCCCTGAATCCCTGACCGCCCAGCCCCCTGAGCTCCTGAACCCCTGCCCACCCAGCTCCCTGAACCCCTCCCTGCCCGCCCAGCCCCCTGAGCCTCTGCAGTCAGGAGCCACATGAATGTCATGGCTTCCTACTACAGACAAGTTATGTTTATGCTTCGCTCTAGTTTATTGCTGCTAATTTACAAGTTGGTGGTTCGAATCCACCAGGTACTCTGTGGGAGTAAGACGGGCAGTCTTCTCCTTTTGTCAAAACCGACAGCTTTGGAAACCTGCTCAGGGGTCCCCATGAGTCTTCCATAACGTCACGATGATGGTTTTGGGTGGGTTTTTCCTAAGCTCACAGCTCTGCACGAGTGTCCAACCAGAATGGACTTGGGAGTCTAGTAAGTGCGCAGAAGCTCTGCTGGCACAGGGGCTGCAAGCAAAAAGGCTGGTGGTTCAAATCCACCAGCTGTCCTTACAGTGAGGCTAAGGCCACCTGCTTCCATGAAGGTGATGGTTCTGGACAGCGTGGCCAGGCCTGTTCTAGGGTCACTGTGAGTCGGAACTGGCCGTAGTGGGCTGCACCGCTGAGCCGGGCAATGGGATGCCGAGGGAGGTGGGGACATTAAGAATGACCCTCGTGTGACACAGAGATGGGCAGTGAGCATGCACTGTCGGGGCGATGGTACGGGCCGACCTGCCGGGCAGTGAGTGGGAAGCACCTGTGGAGCACGCTAAGCGAGGTGTGCCGGAGAGGCTGCGCGGTTGACTCAAGGGGTGGGCCTCTATGGAGGTTAGAATCCACCAGCTGGACCGACAGCCTCCAAAAATCCACTGGACGGTCAGCTGTGAGTCGATTCCGACAGGACGGCAATGAGAGTGAGTGGGAATAAGCTGCTTAGAAGTGATTCCCGTGATCTGCATTCTCACAGAACTAGTTTGAAGGAGATCGGGGGTGGGGGGCAAAACTAGTTCCCTTCTCAGCTATGAATCAAAAGGTTGGTGGTTCAAACCCATGCAGGGGCTTCTCAGGAGAAAGCCCTGAAATCTGGTCCCATAGAGATGACAGTCTGGACAGTGCCGTCTCTGTCACGTGGGGTCAGTCACAGATTAAAACTGGACAGGACGGGCCGTGACAACAGAGACACCAGGGATGTTGGTATTGGGAGGCGGCAGGTGATGCACTCACCTCGTTCTTCGGGCTGCACTGCACCGCCATCCACTTCTGCTCTGAGCTGAAGGGAATCTCCTTTTTCCTGATGTAGGAATCTTTGATATCACTTAAGTCCATCTGGGAGAATGGAACGAGGTTTCTGATGAGTCCTCAAAGCCAGACCCGAGGTCCGGCTCAACAAGACAGAATTCATCATGCAAACGGCCACCTGCCCAACCTCCGCTCAGATGGAGCTCAGGTTCTGCGACCAACCCGGCTCCGAGTGAGAGGCCTCATGAGGACCCCCAGGGCCCTACCTTCATGGCCAGGGCGACCAGGGCCCCCTCCGTGGGCTGCCCCATCACGGTGTTGTTCCTGAGGACGGCGTTGTTGGCCACGCAGCCTGCCTGAGGGAGAGAGGAGCCTGCTGTGGGCACAAGTGGGGACATGAGCCAGCACTCAAGGGGTCTGGGCTCTCAACAAGGCAGACATGAGGCTCGGGTTTTGAGGGGTTGAAGGCAACACTTGTCAAAAAACCCCTCAAACCAAAACGCTGCGTCTGAATCAATTCCTACTCTGGCGAAGTTCCACCAGGTTTCCGAGGCCGAAAACCTTTACGGGAGGACCGCCCGTCTTCCTCTTCTGTGGCAGCTGGTGGGTATGAACTGCTGACCCTCTGCTCAGCAGCCCCACATGTAACACAGCAGTGTTCTCTGTACACCTTACAGACCTGTCCACTGCTTGTCTGAAGCTGAGCCATAATCTCCGAGGTCAGACCAGTCTCCATCTGACCGTAAAGTCTAATCCTTATCTATGTATTTCTAAAAATATGATGGTAGGTTTTGCTCCATGGTTTTCTCCCATTCTCCCCAGGACCTTGGCTGTGCGTCCTTTCAGAGTGGCTGGCAGCACCGTCCGGGTCTGGTTTCGCAGCTGTGGAGGCTAAAGGTCACGGAGGTGGTGGGCTTAGCGTGTTCCTGGCTAGCTTTTGGAAGCAGAGCACCAGGTCTGCCCTCCCCTTCCGTGTCGGCCTGGAAGCGCGGCTGACCAGCCGACCACGTTCAGCATGTCACAAGCTCCATTGAGAGATGAGTGGTGGACAGGCGTGAGGTGCACTGACTGGGATTCGAACTGGAGTCTCCTGCACAGAAGGCTGGAGTTCTACCACCGAGCCACCACTGCTCTCACCTACATCCTTGGGGACTACCTGTTGAGTGCTCACTTTCCAAAACTGTTGGAGTCTCACTCTGTGCAGTGTCTTCTCTGGGCTCTCCAGCGAGCAGGGGGAACTGGGAGCATTCGAGCTCTTGTCTGACCTCTTCCGGGCCTCTTTCTAGCACTCAGAACTGCTAAACCCTGGGTGGTACTCAGTCATTACCAGCAGAGTTGGTTCAAGGAAGAGTCCTTTTCAGAGCCCCCCCGCCCCCAGCCCCATCCTACATTCATCTCACCACCAGGGCACGTTCACACTTCCTTACCTCCACCAGTTTCCCCACCGAGACATTGGAAAACTCCTTAAGCACATCTTTGGATGGTAAAAGACACACGCTCCCTTGACCGTTGTACCCAACTCCGCTGACCTGCAGGGATGTAAGACTGTCTTCAGAGGTGATGTAGCCAAGAGTTAAAAGCATCCTTCTCCCTCGGCCCAAAGTCTGTCCCCCAGGGCTCAATCTCCAGGGCGAAGCCCTAAACCTGGACTAGGCTTTGTGTACAGATGTTCGTGCCGCATCACTTCCTAACTGAAACACCTCACCAACTAACACTGCAACATGTGCTCAACAGGACACTGTGCGGTCAATAAAAGTGACGCTTAAGATAGCTACATAACAGAAGAGCATTTATGCTGCAGAATAGGGCTCAGCAGACTTTCGTACAGAATCAAATCCAGCCCAACCCACGGTTCCGACTCAGAGAGGCCCTGCAGGACAGAGGTGAAGGGCCCTGCAGCATCTCCAAGGCTGTAAATCTTCACGTGAACAGACTGCCATGTCTTTCTCCTGTGGAGCAGCGGGTGGGTTCACATCACCGACCTTTTGATTAGAGGCCGGGTGTTTAACCATTGCACCACAGGCTGTTTCTTACAGAGCCAGGCAGGAAATAGTTCAGACGGTGCCCAGTCTCCCGAAACTACTCAACTCTCCGTTGTAACTCAAATGCAGCCATAGACAAGTAGCACAGACAAACGGGTGCGGATGTGCACCAATAAAACTGTATTTTGCCAAGTAGACTGAGCCCACAGACAGTCCTTTCCCAACTCCTGACTTTGTGGGGAGGAAAACAGGATATAAAAACTTCAGGTTCAGGGACCTCACAACCATGCCAAACAAATGGGATTGAAAAATACAAATGTGTAGTTAGGGGATGGGCAATTGTGTTACTATTTTTTAAAATTATTATTATTATTATTATTAACTTGTTATGTGCTGTCAAATCACATCCGACTGGCACAGGAGGACACTGCCCCTCCTTCTCCAGCAGAGCATCTGGTGAATTTGAACCTCTTCCCTTTGAGACCGCAATGCAGCTTCTTACCACTAGGCCACCAGCGCTCCTGTGTTACTGTTTTTTAACATCTGCAGCACTGAGGCTACGTATGATCAGTCATATGATTCTGTGCGATCACTTAAGGTCATGTCTTCTTTGGTTTCTTCAAGTTTCTTGTCTAGGAAATTGGGGCTTTGGACCAGTTTGAATCTATTCACTCCTGGCTAAAGAAGTGAAACGGAAAGATACTTAGATTCTTAAAGACTGGAGGTGAACAGGAATGAGAATCAGAATTGAAAAACTTTCAGGTTGAAACCCTAGTGAGCCTTTTTAGGAGCTTGGTGAAGGAGCCTGGGCCGTTGTCAGGACCACAGAGAGCAACCCACATTCCAAGCAGTGTGGCTAAGCACCATCTATGAGCTGGGCCTGGCTGTTCTGATACTGCAAAGCAAGAGATGTGGCTGCTACACTGTTGAAACAGGGAGATTAAGTTTCCAACAGGGCTGTAGCCCGTAATTATTCCAGTTTTGATTATAACTGGAGTTCACACAAATTTAAAAGATTCAAGTCTGTTCCAACGTCACTTTCTCAGTCATGCTTGAAACAGGTGGAACAGGTCTGAAGCTCCAGGGAAGTAACAGGTGTGTCATGGCAAACCTTGCTCTTAAATCTGACCAGTTCTCACAGGACTCACCTCAGCATGGAGCCCATCTGACGTCACGAGCTGGGTCACCGTCATCTCATTGGCTGTCAGAGTCCCCGTCTTGTCAGAACAGATGATATTGCAGCAACCTGGGACCAGTAAACTCACATCAGATCTTATCGAAAGAGAAGTGGGCACCACCAACTCAGGGTAATGAAACACTCTGGCACCAGAACACCCACACTGCCCAACGGAGAAGAATTCACATCCGCTGGAGACCCTCAGGGGCAGCCCTGGTAGCACAGTGGGTAAGAGCCCTGAGCTGCTAAGCAAAGGGTCGGTGGTTTGAATCCACTAGTTGTTCCTCCGGAGAAGGAGGTGGCAATCTGCTCCCATGAAGGTTTAGCCTTGGATAAGCTCCAGGGCAGTCCTCCTCCGCTCTACGGGGCGCTGTGAGCTGACAGTGGTGGCGGGTTTGGGCGTCCCTCACCGAGCGTCTCCACGATGGGCAGCTTCTTCACGATCACTCGCTTCTTGGCCATCCGCAGCACTCCTAGGACCAGGGTCACCGTGACGACGATGGGAAGACCCTCCGGGATGGCGGCCACGGCCAAGCTAGGGGAAGAGGTCACAGGACAGCTCTGGTAGTCTACACTGGAGGGCCGTGTGAATCTCAAGTGAGAGGGGTAGGTAGCATCTTGAGGTGCTGGCTTTCGCCTTTGGTGTTCCCACACATGTGACACCAGCAGCCACCACCCTGAGCGTTCCTGGAAACACTGCTTGTGGGACAGACCCTCCCGTATCACATACCCACACTGTGGGCAGTACTCTGCTGGCTGTGTCCTTCTAGTGCTTCTCACTTACATTATTCTCACTCTCTGGAGAGAAACAGGAGGGGTAGCGCAGTGAGGAACAGTTTAAACACTCTTGACTGCTAACCCAAAGTCAGGGGTTCAAATCCGCCTCACGAGAAGCATGCAGCTGTCTGCTTTCATAAATATTACACCCCAGGGGACAACTCTGTCCTATGTAGTCACTGTGAAGTAATTTCACAGCGACAGGTTTAGTGGCTTGGGTTCTTCTGTAAGTCAGACAGGAAATGAGAGCTGAGGGCTCTCAGGCTCTTACGGCTTGCCAGCCATGGCTGACGCATTGTTCAGGGATGTCCACCTCTCTCGCCCCTTCAACAGCGTCTGCACCACCCTTCCAATACTGTCATGGTTGACTGGCTGAAAGGAGAACACGTGACTCCACCTGAACCAATGACAGTCTGTCTTGGGAATGTGGATGGGGGCTGAGGCCCATAGATGCCCCTTCCTGTGAGCTGCTCTTGTCAGGTACACAGCAGGATGGAAGGAGGGCTTCTGCCTCCACTGTGTCCCAGGCTCCATGCCATTTGGGAGGACTGGTTTAGGGCTCTTTGCTGACCTCCAGCACACAAGACAAACTGATGATGCTACCAACCTTGGTAGCTTCATGGAGTACTTTGCCTTCAGGGTCACCATCCCCCATCCCAGTGAGGGACTTCAGGAGAATCCAGAAAGTACTAAAGGTCCTGATGTGGGATGCAACGACTGAGAGAGAGTTTCCCAAACCAATCAACAAAGTGTTCTTCCTACCATTTTATCCCTAACTCATATGTGTAGCTTGATGCTTAAAATAATCTAAGGAAAAGGTGCTTTAAAAGAAAAAAGAAATACTGTCAGTCAGTCAGTGGCATGACACTTTCTCATCATAGCATGCAGAAGTTGCAGTTCAGACTCAGAGCAGTGAAAATGTGGGGGGAAAAACCCAACAAAAAACCAATATGCTGCTTAAATCCTGAATTGCACCACTTTGAGACCAGAAGAACTAGATGGTGCCCAGTATCAACCGCTCGAAAAGAGATCACAGTAGAAGACCCTGGGTAGAGTGGGTGAAAAGGTGCAGCAACTCAAAATCATACAAAAGAGGCCAAGCTCACTGGTCCAATAGAGACTGGTGGAACCTCTGAGACAGTGACCCTTCAAACTTAGAACAAACTTACTCTCGTGGCTCAACTTTAAGCGAAACAGTTCACAGGCTTATAACAAGATCAAGGAGACACTCAGTCCTTAGACTACTCAAGTGCATAAGCTCAAAAGAGCCACATTTGCTCAAGGACAAAGCTCAGAAAGGACAGACAGAAGTATTAGTGGAAATGAGAACCACAGGAAGGAAGTGGGTAGAGTGCCATTATATTCTGAGTGTTGTCATTAATGCCACAGAACAGAACAATTTTTCTTTGTAAACGTTTACTCAAATTACATAAAAACAAACAAAAAAATGCCACTTAGAAGCAAAGAAATTCAGTACCTGGATGGTGACCTTCCCTCCCCTACCCCAGTCACGAGGGAACAAGTTAAGAATTTGCTCAAGGAGGCTGTGGCTAGTTTCCATGGTGACAGCAACAAGGTGCCACGAGTTTTATGGCAGAGGTTGAGATGATGAGCTGACCAAACATTTGCTTAGGTTATTACAGGACTTTCCCCTCTGCAGAGAGGGAAGAGTGTTGTTCATGTCCTCAGACACGTTCATGACCAGAAAGTGAACCCACAAGGACTAGAATCAGCAGGAGAAGCGGTAACGGGCATAGAGGGGAGACACGGCAAGTATGGTTCCAAACCACCCAATAACACAAATATTTGTATTTAAGCGAGTTGCACAATATTTTGGTTTTACCAGTAGTGCACGCTTAAGTGACGTTTCTGCAACTGCTGAAGGAAGCCTGGTGATGCAGGGCCTTATGTGCTGCACCGCCAGCTGAAAGGTGGGCAGTTTGCATGTACCAGCTGCTCTGTGGGAGAACAATGAGGCAGGCTGACGTCTCAGGAAGCTGACAGAGGGTCGCGAGGAGTCAGAGCCACCTGACGGTGCAGCGCGGAATCAACATGACGGCGGAGGCCGGGCAATGTACGGTATGTTTTGGGTTGCTAACTGAAAGATGAGTGGTTTGAACCCACCAGCTACTTGATGACAGAAAGGTGGACAACCTCCTGCCATAAAGATTTATGGCTTCAGAAACCAGGGGAAGGTCACTATGCGTTGAGGACAACGGGCTTGGTTTTGGGACGGGAAGTCTGTGAAGTATGCAGCGTTGCTGTTGTTGTGTACCACAGAGTCAGAGCCAACCCTCTGGGGGGGTTTTCAGAGGCAGTTAATCACACAGGAGGAGACTGCCCATCCTTCTCCCTCAAAGTATGCAACAGCTTGATGAAAAAGTTTTAAATACGGTGAGGATGACCAAATAGGGACACAGAGGCACAACTGAGATAGGCTGTTGGAATAAGGCACCAAAGATTTGCTCGGTGTAGGGCTGTCAGAGCTTCAATTTGCAAAAAGTACAATAAAGTGACTGAGAAGCAGCTGTCTGAACAGATAAGGGAACAGCACTTGGTTTAAAATCAGCAAAGGTGTGCAGCAGGGTTGTGTCCTTTCCCCACACTTACTCAATCTGTTATTCAACTTGTATGCTGAACAAGTAATCTGAGAAGCTGGACTCTGTGAAGAATTACGTGGCATCAGGATTGGAAGAAGACTCATCAACAGCCTGCATTATGCAGAAGACATCTTGCTTGCTGGAAGTAAAGAGCATTTGAAACGCTTGCTGTAGAAGATCAAAGACTACAACCTTCAATGCAGATTACATCCCAGCACGAAGAAAACAATCCTTACCACCAGGCCAGTGGGCATTTATCATGACAGATGAAGAAATGACTGACGTTATCAACAATTTCATTTTACTCGCATCCATAATCAAGACCAATGGTAGCCACAGTCAAGAAATCAAAAGATGTGCTGCGTTAGGGAAATCTGCTGTCCAGGACCTCTCCAAAGTGTTAAGGTCTCAAGGATGTCTGGTGGAAGCCCTGGTATTTTTCACTGCTTTGTATGCATCTGAAAGTTGGACAGTGACTAGCGATGAAAGAACGGGTACCTTTGAACTGTTGACGGAGACCGCAGAATATCTCATGGACTGCCAAAAGAACAAACAAATCTATTTTAGAAGATCTGAAACCAGGGCGCTCCTTAGAGGCAAAGATGGTGGCTTTTCGTCTCATAGTTTGATCATGTTGTCAGGAGAGACTAGTCCTTGGAAAAAGTCTTCATGCTGGGGAAGGTGGAGAGTCAGAGAAAGAGAGGAGGGCTCTCAAGATGGACTGACCCAGTGACTGAACAGTGGACTGCAGTAGGTCAGACATGGAGTGACCCGGCGACTGTATCAATGGACTGGAGCAGGTCAGAGATGGACTGACCCAGTGACTGTGACAATGGAGTGGAGCAGGTTAGAGATGGACTGACCAGTGACTGAACAGTGGCCTGGAGCATGTCAGAGATGGAGTGACCCAGTGACTGTGACAATGGACTGGAGCAGGTTAGAGATGGACTGACCAGTGACTACAACAATGGACTAGAGCAGGTCAGAGACGGACTGACCCAGAGATGACTGACCTGGCCACTGTACCAATGGACTGCAGCAGATTAGAGATGGACTGACCCAGTGACTGTACCAATGGACTGCAGCAGATTAGAGATGGACTGACCCAGTGACTGTACCAATGGGCTGGAGCCCTGAGATGGACTGACCAGTGACTACAACAATGGACTGGAGCAGGTCTGAGACCATGAGGTGGCACAGGACCAAGCAAGCTTCGGCTCTGATGTTCACAACAATAACATGAGGTCTGCCTGCTTCGGATGGTCCTGAATGATCAGTGCACAGGGACGAGGAAGAAACTGCTGACGAGGACAACTCCCACGTGATTTATTCTGGAAACACTCACTGTTCTGCCACCTTTGGTTTCTGAGAGTTCCTGTGGCTTTAAATCGGGAACCCCTCCTCACGCGATGTCTGAACTGAACAGAGCAAACTCCCCTCACAGCCTGATGACCACAGCTAAGTGCAGGGAGCGTGGTGGAAAGCAAGCGAAGGCAAGAAGCCAGAAAGGAAAAGCAGTGTCCTGGGGGCGGGGGCCTCTCTGTCCAGTTCCTGGGCCGAGCAATGCTCAGCAAGCCAGCGGCCCCTCTCACAGTGGCCTTACCTGACACCAATTGTGAACATGCTGAGAAGCGGCCGCCCTTCCAGCCAGCCTGTGAACATGATCAGACCTGGAGGGGACAGAGGAAGACAGGTGTGCTCACCAACGTCCGAGTGCATCCAACACGGACTTCCTGAAGGAGTCACACGACTATAGCGCAGAGGTGGACAGCCTCAGGTGCTTTCCTCCTTTTAGTAAGAAAGTTACTTTTTCGTCTACTAAAAACATACTTTTCTTTTTAATTTTTCACTGTGATTTGGGCAGGAGTTTACAAAGCATCCCTCAACCATCCATCCACATGTTGTTTTATGGCACGGATTACAATCCCTAAGTTGCCTCTTCACTCTTCCTCCCATCTCTCCCTGGTTCTACCTTCCGTTCGTCTTTCTGTCCTCTCTCTTTCTGCTTAGAGTGGAGCATAGCGTCTGGTACGTCACAGGACGCACCCTAAAGGACCTAACTCAAACGCAGGGATTTGAACCTGTGGTTCGGTCATCACCTCTGTAAATTAGGACCTTGTACATGGGCACAACACCCACATATGCTGCTTGTGGTCTCGTAAGAAACAAATAGGTGGCCAGGTGGCGGTCAGCAGCTTGAACACTGGGGGAGAAAGTGGAAGCAGTCTGCTTCTGTAAAGATGGACTGCCTTGGAAACACCCAGGGGCAGCTCTACTCAGTCCTGTAGGCCTGCTATGAACTGGACTAGAGTTGATGGCAATGGGCTTGGTTTTTAGGAAAAACACAGTAGTGCCCCACTCAAAGACAGCATCGACTTAATCACGTTCAATATGTGTGGCTCTTCAGAGTCCTGCCCGTCAGTCCTCCCTCCAGAGCCTGATGGGGGAGACTGGATCATGGGCACAATTCCTGAGAGCCACACATGAGAGGTAGCATGGCCACTCGCCTCTTATCGGCACGGCTGTTTACTGCCTACCTCTAGCAATAGATCTGGTCGCTATGCAACAGCTACAGGGCCACTGTGTAGCACAAAGTCACTGAACTGGTTTGAAGCCCTACGCACACAGGGCTGCTAATCCATTGCCATCAAGTTGATTGCTTGAATCTCTACTGAGTTTCCAAGGCTGTAACTCTTTAAGCAAGAAGACCATCTCATCTTTTTCTCATGGAGCAGCTGGTGGGTTCAAACAGCCAATCTTCTCTTTTTTGTTAATAGTCCAACCTATTACACATCACGAGGGCTCCTTGAAGTGCTGCTAAGGATGTTCTCTGGCTCCACAGCTTCAGTCAGACTCTCCAGAGCCTTAACAAACCTTACTTATGCTGCAGGTAGTGACTAGCTGATTATTTCCTTCACCAATGTCAGGTGGGGATCTTATGAGGCACTGGCTGACCCTGAAGATTGAGAATGAAGGTTACAGGGTGCCAAGGCTGGAAGAGCAAGACAGAGCTGGTGAAGGGACTAGGGCAGGCTCATGGACATTCAGGGTCAAGATCCACAAGATGCTGTTAAGATCCACAAATGTGGTGAGCTCTGGTGGCCTAGTGGCAAGAACCTATACTCCAATCCCTGAGGTGCATGGTTCAAATCCACCAGATGCTCTGCTGGAAAAGGAGGGACAATCTCCTCCTCCTATTCCAGTCAGATCTGATTTGAAGGTACACACACACAGACACATAAATTAAAAAAAAAAAGATCCACAAATGTGTGCCAAAGGCCAGGAGGCTTAAGGCACCACCTGCTTGTTAGCGGCTGACTCCTAGCAACCACAGCACAGGATAATCTGATCACTGTTTATATCGAGTTCTCTTGGGCTGGTTTTCAGATGTGTATCACCAGGCCTTTCTTCCCAGCCCATCTTGGTTTGAAAGCTCCACTGAAACCTGTTCAGCATTCCAGCAACATACAACCAACCACAGAAAGATGAGTGGTGGTTTATAAGGTGCTTTAGCCAGGATTTGAAGCTGGGTCTTCTGAATGGAAGGACAGAATTCTACCACAGAGTCACCAGTGTCCTCTATGCAGTCTGATTAGAAGCATAAAAAGGTGGCTAAGGGCTCAGCTAAATCACCTTTCCTTGTTGTTTGGAAGGACTTGTGACTTCATTCTGGTCAATAAAAAAAATAAATATGGCTTTAAAAACTTCTCTCAGAAGCTTCCATGCACTCTCTCCCCTCTTGGCTAAATGAAACTACGGCCTCCGAGGGAGGAAGGCAGAGCAACAATACTGCAGGAGCCTGGGCCACTGAGTCAACATTTAGAGGCAAGCTCTCCTGAAAGTAGGAACACTCCCAATGTGTGAGCAAGAAATGTAAATTTTCAAGGTTATTGCTATTTTTAGAAATGACCACTGAGTTGGGCCCCATTCATGGTAAACCCATGTACAATGGAATAAAATATTGCTAGGTCCCGTGCCATCCCCATGACTGGCTATGGATCAGTCCATGGTGAACAACAGAGCTTTCACTGGCTGCTTTTCAGAAGTAGATAGCCAGACCTTTCATCCTAGTCCATCTTCGTCTGAAAGCTCTGCTAAAACCTGTTCAGCATCCTAGCAATGTACAAGTCTCGACAGGTAGCTAGGTGTGGTTATTCATAAAGTGGCCTGACTGGGAGTGGACTTTAGGCCTCCCACATGGAATGTGAGAATTCTACCACGGAGGCACCTCACTATTTAAAGGAGGTGTTTCTTACCAGAGTTTGCCAGATCTGTCTCAGAGAGAAGCCTCTTGCTGTCAGAGAATCTATGTGCTCGGTCCCAATGTGTACTCAGCTGAGTGACAAGGTACTTGAGACGTAGCCATGACTGCCCTCGGCTGGCCCTCCACATCCCCAGGCCCCAGCACAGATACTCACCAATGATGGCAAATGAGAAGAGTGTCAGCTGCTTCCCAAGCTTGTCCATACTTTTCTGTAAGGGCGTTTTAGGTGTCTGGAAGAGCAAGGACAGTCAGGTGAGGAGACAAGACCTTGAGGACAAACCCTGGCTTCTGTCGGTTTTCTTCAAAACGCACCCCTGGATGTCCCTGTTTTACTGTGGGTGCTAGTTACACAGGACACACGTGTGAAAATCCACTACCTTCTACACTGGACCTCTGTGTATCTTACTGTCTGGAGTCGTACTATTTGTAGGATGTATTGTGGCAAACATCCCAAGATGTATTTTAAACTAACTTTTAAAATAATATATTCATGAGAAAAGAGGGAATAGTAAATAGATGGTGCACACAGCATTTTTAGGGCAGTAAAACTATTTTACAAGACACTGCTGGACAAGGAGTCCTGGTGGCACGGTGCACTAACATATTAGGTTCCTAACTGAAAAATTGGCGGTTTGAATCCTCCACCAATTGCTCTGCAGGAAGAAAGACGAGCAATCTCCTTGGAAACCTGATGGAAACCTGGAAGATCTCGGAAACTAGAACTGACTCCACGGTAGCTGGGTTTTGGTTTGGGGTCCTGACGGACACATGACATTAGTCGTCTGTCAAAACCCATAGGGCTGGAAACAGAGAGTGAACCTGGGTGTGAATTATGTTGTATTTGGTGCCATAATGTAGAATGTGACTTGTAGGATCCCTGTGTGAGAGAACTACTCCGTAAGATTTCCCAGGAAACAAATTGACACATCTTCCTTCCAAAGAGTATCTGGTTGGTTCAAACTGCTGGTCCTTTCAGATCATTCAGTAGCTTAAGCCACTGTGGTTTATTTACAGACTTTGAAAAATAATAGATTGTAGCAAGATCAATCCATCAGTTATAACAGGTGTTCCAAAGGAATGAAGATGTTAATAGCAGGGGACGCATATACAGAAGAAGGGGTATAGATAGAACTCTGCACTTTCTACACAATGTTTCTGTAAACCTAAAATTGCTCTAAAAAGAAAACTCAAACTAAAAAAAATTCATAGCCATTGAACTAGAACCAACTTATAGTTGACCTTCTACCGAGTTCTCTAGGCTATAAATCTACAGATCACATTGGAGGAGGAGGAGGTTGCCTGTCTTTCTTGCATTAAGCCTCTGGAGGATTTGAACTGCCAGAGAGGTATGGTATTTGAGTTACTAGCATGATTCACTACAGACTAAGCCACAAGTGTGACCTCTAAAAACAAAGTTCACTTTAAAAAATGAAATAAGAACTCCTTTTAGTTATATTCATTCCAAAGAGTGGGCAAAGCTAGGACTGCTGGCTGGAGCAACCTTGAAGTTCAGGTTCTGAGAGATCAGAACCACCACAGTGCCTTACCTCTTCAGCCTGCATCATCTTAAAGACTTCTCCAAACTGAGACTTGTCCCCTGTTCCAATCACGACACCCTGCATTCAGGAGAGAGAAGCGTGAGATCAAGGGCTGGAGGCAGGCTGGGGAGGGGGGCTCACGGCCTCTCAGTTCACCTGTCCTTTCCCGTACTGCACCAGCGTTCCCATGAAGACAATGTTGCTCAGAGTGGTGAGGTCACTCCCGCCCAGCAAGGGGCTGGCCGTCTTCACGCAGGGCTCAGCCTCTCCAGTGAAACTAGATTCATCCACCAAGAGGTCTGTCACCTGGGGGCAGAAGGAAAAGAGGATGGAAGCTTCCCTCTCATGGGAGTTAGCGGCTTTAAAAGCTCATCACTTTAATGCCATTTGCTCTCAAGCCCACTAGTAATAGAAGACTAACTAGACTAACTAGCTGAAGCAGGCAATGGAAAGACAGGCAGAAAGCACCAAGGTTTAGAGTGAATGTATTTGCTAGAACATTTTCAAGTTGGCAACTTTAATGCTGGTTGCAATTTACGCCGCCTTATCCAGGGCTGGTGGAACTTAACATGGCAATAAAAAGCAGACATCACCACCCTCTGAGCCAAGAAACGAGTCTTGATCCTCCTTTCCATGGAATTAGGATTTTTCTTAGGGTTGACACAGGTCTTTCTCCATCGCCACGGTCTTTCTGTGCTTGATCTTAGCCAAAAGGCTGAGAAGCCCAGTGCTACTTCTACAGCGTGCTTTCTTTTTTTCTTAAATTTTATTTGCCATTTTGGCAGTAATTCGGGAAGCCTCAGCTCCTCCCTGTCATCACAAAGTCACCGACTGTGACAGATTAGGGGATGGTCTACCTCTCTGGGCTTGAAGCCACACAAGGCCAGGGACTATTTCTCCAGGGTCTCTTCACTCTCAGTGGTTCTGGATACAGGATATATGCTCAGGAGATGTTTGTTAAATGAGTGTGTGATGGCAACAGAGACAGAGGTTGGGCTGAGGGAGGTCACAGTGGGATGGGAAGAGAGGAGAGAGAGAAGTCTGAATTAGGTTTGCAGGATCTTAGACACCAAAACCCACCTGTGTCCCAACCCCTGGGACCTGTGGATATAATGTAAGACAAAGGGTCTGAGAAACTGTAGACCAAGATGGATAAAGACTAAGATGGGAGATGATCTTGGATCCAAGTGGACTCAATGGAATCACCAAAGTCTTTGTAAGTGGAGAAAGGGAGTCAGGGATGACATGAGATGATAAAAATGGGTCAGAGAGAGGACGTGCCAGGAGCCAAGGTGGGCAGGTAACATCTAGAAGCTGGAAAAGGCAAAGGAATGGATTCTCCCCTGGACCAACCAGAGGGAACCATAACCTGCCACCACCTTGACTTTGGCCTTAAGACAATAATAGATGTGAGTCATGTTCAACCATGAAATTCACAAAAATTGTTACATCTCTAAGAGGAAACACATGTATTAAAGAAACTCAAGAGAAAGAGATTGAGTCTGAGACAGATAGCTGGCCATGGGGTGAAAAGACCACCTGGTAATTTAAGAACCTCAAGTGGGGGCCAGAGAGCCTGGGTACGAATCCTCCCACGTGGTGCTGTGTGACAACAGGTGAGTTCCTTCATCTTCCCAAGTTACCATATCCTCACTGTAGATTGCAAAAAGGAACAGAACTGGATCATAAGGAGCCCTGGTGGTACAGTGGTTAAGGCACTTGAACACTAACGGAAAGGTCAGTGGTTCGAATCCACTAGTCACTCTGCTAGAGAACGATGTGGCACTTGACCTTAGAAGCACTACAGGCAGTTCTACTCTGTCTTCTAGGCTCAGAGAGTCAGAGGTGTCGGTGACAGTGGGTCCTGTGGGACCTGGTGAGGGAGCATCGAGCGGCACAGTCTGGAGGGAGTGGTACTGTGAACGCAAACGTGGCACCCCTCTGGTGGTTCAGATCCACCAGTGGCTCCAGCCAACAAAGACAGGCAATCTCCTCCCACGTGACTGGAAGCCTCTGAAAATCTATAGAGGAGTCAGTTTTAAGTCAGTTCCCAACTGGAAGCAATGAGTTGAGTTTTGAGAATTTAATTACATGTTTTATTACAATTCTTTTACATTTGTTTTTCATTTGTAGCAAACATTAATAGTTTTACAGTGTAAAAAAGTTTCCCTGGATTTGGGGGTCCAGCAGCTGACACAAAGCTTCCAACTGTGAGCAAACAAAGTTATTATTCAACACTAATGGAATTGTAAAACACCAACAGGCAAACATGGGGAGTGCTGGAGGCTGGGAGCCTGAAGCAGCAGAATGGTTTCAGCAAACAGGAGATGATCAAATTTAAACAATGAGGGCAGGCAGAGCACCAAGAGAGGGAGGGAGCAATGTGAGTTTTTAAAACTGGTTTCCAAGAGCTGCCGAGTCATGTAATTGATTCAGAGATGAGATGAGATGAATAGTCAAGGCCTGCTCCCCGGCAGACACCCAGGAACCCCACAGGGTGGGAACAGACAGGAAGGGCGAGCTCAGAGGGCAATCTCCTCCCCAAGGGCCTGCACCAGCGCTGCTGAGCCAGCACCTGCCGGACCCCCACTCGTCTTCAATGACGACACCAGAGTGGCTTGCCCACCACTCAGCCTCGTACCCACGTCCGTGAGGGGAAGGTGCACCAGCCTCGCTTCTGAGGAGCATTCTGGCTGTGCCTCCTGACGAGACGGCAGCAAGTGGATCCCACCCGGCTCAGGACAGGACAGGACGGGGGTTTTAGCATTCTGTGTCACTTGCAACTAATCAATCCCAAACATCAGATGACACTGGCGAGCTTCAGCCTCGCCTCTGTGACTGGCACCAAGTTCTCATCAGATATATCCACTGAATGGAATTCTCCACAGTGAGCTGACAGCAGTTCCAGCTTGCTATGGGCTTAGAACGTGCAACCCTAGCATGGTGTCAGGCGCACAGCAGCTACTCAATAAATAACTGGTGAGTAAAAGAGGAGTCATCATGGGATGCTATCACCAGGGCGACTGCCGGAGCCACCAGGAGGCCAGGCACTGTGCACGGCTCACCAGCTCACATGCACATCCTGCCAGCCAAGCACTATGAACAGCTTACCAGCTCTCACATTCACACACACACACACACAGAGCCTGCCGGGCACTGTGCACGGCTCATCAGCTCACACGCATATCCTGCCAGCCAAGCACTATGAACGGATTACCAGCTCGCGCTCTCTCTCTCTCTCACACACACACACACACACATACACACACACATATCCTGCCAGCCAGGCACTGTGCACGGCTCACTAGCTCGTGCTCTCTCTCTCTCACACACACACACACATATCCTGCCAGCCAGGCACTGTGCACGGCTCACTAGCTCTCTCTCTCTCACACACACACACACACACACACACACACACACATATCCTGCCAGCC